GTTCTCACAGCCTTACGCTGCCCTTTTGGCTGGCATGATAAACTCCTTTTGGAAAGAAACTATATTCATTCTTTCTATTTACTATATTGACTATATAGATTTTTTTCTCCATACAACATATTCTGGCTATGATTTCCAGTTCCTCAAGTTCCTCCTTACCTCACCTTCCATCCATCTACTACCTTTCTCTTTCCTTGGGGGATGGGGGACAGGCATTTAAGGGATAATAATAAAATAAGACAAAAAATTGAAATAGGACAAGGAAGGAAGGAAGGAAGGAAGGAAGGAAGCTAAAGAAAAAGCACAAGAAACACATATAGAATCAGAGAGGCACATATTAGCAGACACAAGAATCCCATAAAAACACAAAACCAGAAGCCATAATATGTTCATAGATGACCTGTAAAGTTGAAAAAAAAATTCCTGACAAAACATTATGAGGCAAAGAACTTCCGAAGGTGCCATTGACTTTTGTGTTGACCATCTACTGCTGATGATGGGTCCTGCTTTTAAGTGTGGTTTGTATCTCAAACAGTGATGCTAAGGAAAAAACAAAACAAAAAAATCAAAAACATAACAAAACAAAGTCCACTAGCAATAAAATGGCTCCTGATGGATCCTAATGGCATTCTGTACTCACTGGTCAGTGCCTTGCTCAGCCATCATCAGGGAAGCTTCCTCCTGCAGCAGATGGGAACAAACACAGTGTTCTATAGCCAGACAGTATGCAGAGTGTGAGAGACCTTAGAACACTCAACCTTAAATGGGATGTGTTCATCAATAAGAGGAGACAGAAAGACTGTAAAAGCCAAAGGGAATGGAGACACCAAGAAAATAAGGCCTCTAAATCAATGTGATAGATTCACATTAGAGCAACATGCACCTGCATGGGTCTGCACCAGATGGGGCCATAGAGATGAAAGAAGTAGTGGACTAACAAGCCTCCACTCCTAAGCCAAGAGTAGTCTCCAATAGAGAACCACTTACAAATGAAAATTTAGTTTCCTCTCTCCCAGGGAATCTCACTGGGGAAACAAACTACTCTATTATTATTATTATTATTATTATTATTATTATTATTATTTACATACTAATCACAGTTTGCCCTCTCTCCTCTCCTTCCAGTTCCTTCCCCCACCTACCCTTTCCCAACCCTTCACCCACCCCACTCACACCCCCTGCTCCACATCTACTCCCTTTCTCTTCAGAAAAGGGCAGGCCTCCCATGGATGTCAAGCAGCCCTGGCATTTCAAGTTGCAGTAAGACTAGATGCATACTCTCCTATTAAGGCTAGAAGAGATAACCCAGTAGGAGGAAAGGGTCCCAAAGGCAGGTGACCAAGAAACAGCCTTTGCTCCCACTATTAGGAGTCCCACACTAAGGCCAAGAAACACAGCAGCAACATGTGTGAAAGGCCTAGCTCAGTCCCACACATGCTCCCTGGTTGGCAGTTCAGTCTCTGTGAGCCCCTAGGGGCCCAGGTTAGTTGGTTCCATAGGTTTGCTTGTGATGTCCTTGATCCCTCTGGCTCCTACAATCCTTCCTTCCCCCCTCTTCCACAGGATTCCCTAAACTCTGCTTAATGTTTGGCTGAGGGATTCTGCATCTGTTTCTATCAATTGCTGGGTGAAGCCTCTCTGATGACAATTGAGTTAAGCACCAATCTATGAGTATAGCAGAATATCATTAGGAATCATTTCATTGACTTTTTTGTTTGTTTTTCTTTTTGTCAGTCATGTTTGGTTCCTATCCTAGGTCTCTGGAGTCTATCCAGCCTCTGGTTCCTGGCCATCTGGGCAGTGTAAGGGATGGACTCTCTTTCATGGCATGGGTCTCAAGCTGGACTAGTCATAGGTTGACCATTTCCTCAATTACTGCACCATCTTTACCTCAGCACATCTTGTAGGCAAGACAGAGTGTTCAGAGGTTTTGAGGCTAGGTTGGTGTCCCAGTCTTGCCTGTTACAGAAGATGGCCTGTTTAGACTCCATGACCCCCATTAGCAGAAGTCTTAGCTAGAGTCACCCTTGTAAATTCCCTTGTCAATTTCCATTACCCTAGGTTTCAAGATCATCCCAGAAATGTCTCCTAATAAGAGTTGTCTTTCCCAGTACTCTTTCCCTTCACCCTCCCCTCAGCTGATCCCTCCTGTTCCCATCCCTAACCTACCCTATCCAGGTCCCTTAAACTACTCTTAGGGATAGGTTGTATGCCTATCAGTAGAAGCCAACAGAAAACGAACTCAAAAGCAGCTTTGGAGGTTCCTTGTTTCAAAATGTTACCTCAGGGCTTTTATTTTTCTTTTTCATTTAATTTTATTTTTAAATTTTAATTTACGTATATATTTTTCTTATCTTTGTACCCTATAGGTCCTTTGCAAATATATTATAGCTTCCAGTTTAGTGTTTTTATAGGATTCCAGAATGTGCGAATGAGTAGGTCTCTGATTCCTGTCCCTTCTGTTGGGCTCTTTTCTTTCTGTTGGTTTTGTCCAATTCCAATGTGTTAGTTTTTGGTTTTATTTTATTATACTTTATCTTTTATTGTTTCTTAGGAGCCTGTTTGTTTCCTAATGAGACAGAAAGGGAGTAGAGCCAAATGGCACGGGAGGAACAGGAAGGAACAAAGGGATGGGAAACCGTAATTAGGATATATGAGGGAAAAAATCTTCTATTTTCAATAAAATTGGGAAAAGAGTTGTTTGACTTCATACCCATGGAGATTCCATTGGAGAAAACAAATTTCTCATTTGCAAGTGGTTATCAATTGGAGATAGCTTCTGGGTGAGGGATGGGAGCCGGTCTCCACTTCTCTCAGCACTGGGACCACGTGTAGTGCAGACCAGAGCAGGCCCTGTATATGCCGCCAGTCTCTGTGAGTTCCTGTGTGTTGGTTTTGCTGTGTTTAAAAGGCCTTGCTTCCTTCGTGTCCTTCATCCTCTCTGGCTCTTACATTCTTTCTGCCTCCTATTCCAATAGTCCCATGAGCTCTGAGAGGAGGGATTTGATGGGGCATCCCATTTAGAACTGAGTAGTTCAATGTCTCTCACTCTCTGAAAATTGTATGGCTGTGGTTCTCTGTCTTTGTTCCCTACTACTGCTGGAAGAAGCTTCTCTGATGATGGCTGGGCAAGGCACTGATCTATGAGTGTAGTAGAATGGCATTAGGACTCATTTTATTGCTATGGTCCTTTAGCAGAACAGTAGTAGTTGGTTTGCCCACAGGTCCCTGGCCTATCATGTCTCAGGTTCTTGGCCACCTGAGCAGTGTCATATACAGCTTCACTTTTACCATTGTGTCTTTGCTGGGACATCCATAGGTTTGACAAGCCATCTTCTCTTTTCTGCTAGATACCATGCTTGTTAGGAAACTTTCTCCTTCTTAACTGTGTGTTTCCTCTCCTCCAGCACTTGATATGTTCTAACTGTTTGCACCAGTGTTTGCCAGCCATATAGCACCTGAGGGGAAAACTTCTGTCATAGCCTTTCCTAGCTAGATGGCCATAGCCTGGAGACTGGCACAAGAAGACCATGCTTGCTAAATGGGTGGGCAAATGGAAGCAAAGGGTAACCAACTCAGAGACACTGTTGATCTTCGTTAAACCTTGTTCTCTCCCTATTCCGTGGCCACATGAGAACTTTCCAGTTTTCTTCTGCGGTGTTGTTTAAGAACTGTCTAGGACTCCTAACATTATATTCTCAAGTAGTATCTGGTCTACAAATCAAATATATGAATATGTGGAGTAGGGATGCTAGTCTCAAGGCCCGTTCTCTATGGATAAAACATCCTGCCTATGAAGGCATGCAGACAGCTCTAAATGACTTAGGGTCGTATCCCTTGGCGTTTCTTTCTCACTGTCTTCTTCCCCAGGTATTCTAAAGACACTAGTGGGCATTTGGTGCACACGGACTACCTGATAATAATGTCCCATCACACAAGTGCCATAACTAAGTACCATTCCCTTTCATTTAAATTAGATAAAACCCAGAGCTGTGGCTTGCAAGTAATAGAAGTCTACTGGGGAAATTAAAAGTTCACAAAGAGCAGACCTATTATAATAAAAGCATTTGCACAGCCAGTGATTCCATCCATCCTGTGGCTTCCTTATTCCTTGGGGTAAAATGAAATATCAAATAAGAGGACCTTTGGAAATACTTTGAGGAATTTAGTTTAATTGGAAATAGTGGGAGCATTCCATGGTTAGAGTAAACTCTGGGTCATACACAGTGGTGTTATTTGCTTTGTATAACGAACCATGGTGCATCCAGGTCTGCCATGGTTCGGATCTCAGCCTCATTTGTTTCTGTATTCCTGCATATGTGCTAACTGTAATCATAAGGTTCGTGCCTCTCTCCCTCCCTTGCTCCTGTCTTTCCCTCCTGTATCCCAGTGGCTCTGTATTATTTAGTGGTACCTAAATCAAGCCACTTGAAGACCGTTGAATCATTTCTGTTGAGACCTGAGATAAACCCAAAAAGCAAACAGAGTAGTAGGTAGTAGACAACAGAAATGTTATCATGTAAGTAGTACAACCATAATTATGACTTCCTCAGTGCATCTTTGGCACTGCTCATGCATTAAGCACTTTACATGTGTGCTCTCGATTAACCCTCATGGCCCTGCTCTGCAGGTGTTACCTAATACCATCGCAGGTGAGGAGACTGCACTAGAGAGCTCACACTAGCCCAGGTTATATAACTGTAACACATTTCAGAGCTAGAGTTACCTATAATAGAGAGGTGGAGGTTACATTTAATGGCAAAACCAGGTTTCAGATTCCAAGGCTCAAGCTCTTAAGTGCTATTCCTGTTCCCTGGCTTGAAGGTTAGGTTCCTGAACATAAAACTCAGGAAACAAACAAAGGTAATATCACCCCTTAAAGGCCATGTTATTAATGATGTATCCTTGTAATTATAGCAGTACTTGAATAGTATCACATTTCTGAAACTGGTTTTACAGTTGTTCAATCTGCCTTTACTTTCTCACTTTTATATTTTTAGATGCATCATCCCATTCAGATGAAACCTGCAGATAGTGAAAAGTCAAACGGTAGGTGGCGACCAACTGTCTGATTAAATAGTGCCTGCTACTTTAGATTACTTCAGGTGGGGGAGGGGGAGCCAACCCTAGCTGTTGTTTCCCTCTGAAAGGTGGACAGCTACTGCTCTGGTAACTCAGCATATATGGAGAAGACTGTGACAAGGAATGGTTTTTCACGGCCTTCTGCTTAGGGCTTGTCCTACGTGATGGCCTTGTGGGATCTGGCTAATACTAGTCTACTCCTGGTACAACCCAGGAATAGCTGATGGGTGGGAAGAACATGAGTGGAATGTAAGTAGCCATGAAGAATAGGCTACCACTTTTTGTCTCATTGCTCCTCTTTGTCTTATTGTATTCTTCTCTAAACTGGTACCAATACATTTGCATCGGAATCTGTTCAGAATTAAGTCTGCTTATTAAATGAACATACAGTTGCAGAAAAATGTGTATTTGAGATCTATAATACAATTGAGATTGCCTCTTCAAGGCACTTCAGAGTTGATAGTCCATATTTTTATCAAGTTTTTGCTCCTGTCTCTACAAGCCTCCTGTCCTGGTTTTGTTCTTTTAATTTTCTAAAATGTATATTCAGAAGAACCATCTACCTTCCTGGACCACAGAGCTCCTCTGTCCCCCAAGACTGACATAATCAGCCTTGTTTCCTTCCAGCAGGCAGCTTCGCACCTCATTAATTAGTAATCAGGGCAGAAGCCATGCACTTAGAGATCTATATATCTGCAAATGTAAATTATGATTGGGCTCTAAGTCTCTCCACGAGGTATTTTATTGCTAATTGCAGTGCATCCCATTTTCTGGCTTCTTCACAGACTGAAAAGTTTGAAAGAAAACGCCCAAGTTGTCACAAGGGCTGCCAGCACTGGTTTGTCAGAGACAGTGTTTATTCTCTGTCACCTACCCTCTTTCTGAGCAGATGTTGTTGCTTTTCTCCTACCTTCTTGTACTTCCCGTAACTGTCAAGCCTTCTTCCCTATACTGTTTTATTGTAAACCCTGGTGTTTATCACAAGAAACTTCCAAAAGTCTACCATGACTTTGTGTGAGACCATGATCAAATTCAGTCAGTCCTTCCTTCCCTCTTTCCTTCCTTCCTTCCTTCATTACTCATTTATCATTTACTATGTACCAAAAAAGATGTCTAGGGGATAGCATTACAACAGTAAATCTGAAAAAGAAAAAGAAAAGACTGTGACCCTGACAGTCATTTTAATGACTTGATACCTAATTATAGTCCTTAAACATGGAAATTTGCATCTGCTCATTCATAAAATAGGAATAGTGATAACTAGCTTATGGCTTGTCTTTTTGTTTCTTCTTGAGTCTCAAAATAAGATGTTTGCCACAGTCTTTGTAAACGATGGCTGTCCTGGAACTTGCTCTATAGACCAAGCTGGCCTCAAACTCGGAGATCTGCCAGCCTCTACCTCCCAAGTACTGGGATTAGAGGTTTGCACCACCACAGCCCGGATGACAGAACACTTATTAAAGTGTTAGTTATTACCTCCCAGAGGCATGCCTGGGCTGTGTAGCATTCTTTGCTGAGCACACCTTCCTTTACAGGTAGCCATTCTGCCCCAGACATTCCCATATACTCTTCTACCTTTAGTAGCAAAGAGATGAATCATATGGGACAAATCCTGTCAGTTTATGTCTTCATGGAGTTTATAACCACCAAGAGATGCTTTACCTATCCTTTCACTCCAAACTTCTCTGAATTATATTAGAGCAAAAGTTATGGAATGAAAGTCTGTTGGAAAGGGGTCTGTCTTAGTTTTTTAGCTTTAGGTTGTATTTATAAATATATAAATCATATATTTGAGGTGAACACATAGGACCTGAAATGCCCAATTATTGAAATATGGTATGTTTTCTTCTTTGTATTGTCTACTATTCGTGTGTATAACCAAATAGACAAACCCTTTTCTGCCAAGAGTTCTCAGTGTTGCACTGCTTTTCTTTTCCAGTGTCAACTCTGGACACAGTATTTGTTTTAAGGCTAAAACTACTGCAGACCAAACTATGTGCTCCAAATTTTTCATGATCTCAAAAGCCAAGGAGGATTTGAGTGTCCTTATTACTGCAATAAAAAGCATCTTTAACTGCCCCTTTTGAGGGAATTGTACAGGGCAGTAGATGAGCAGACTTCAACATGTACCAACTAATCAAATGAATGAACCTACAGGGACATTTTGTACTCACATCACCACTTTCAGTTCCTTGGCCCTCAAAGGTTCATGGCTATCTCATGATATAAAATGTATTTAGTCCAACTTCACAAGTCCTTGTTGCTCTTCAAGTTTCAACCTTACTCAGAAGTTCAAAGTCTGTTTTGAAGGCAATAGCTTAACTGTGACCCTCCTGTAAAACCAAAAAAATAAATTACATACTTCCAACATATACAAAGAAAATTCCAAAAGGGAAGAGGGGAACATAGTAAGGAAATACTAGATGAAAGCAAGACTAAAATGCATCGGGGAAGATACCAGCTCCTACAGCTCCGTGTACAGTCCCTAAAGGCTTTAGATTGAATTGGCTTAGGTGTCCAATACACATCTCTTTGTGAGCTGATTCTTCCCCTTATATTCAGCTCTACTTGGGAGATGTTTCATGGCTCTGACATCTCCAACATCTTTTAGTCTTTACTACGACCAGGCTTCCCTTTCACAGCTTCATGCAGTGGCCTCTCATAGCCTTCTCACAGACTCCACATGTTTCCTGGCCTCAGTTGTTCTCTAAAACTATGGAGAAAGAAAGCATGACCCCTCCCTCCTGAATCTTTCATGCCTTCTAAGCCAGGACTATTGGGATTAACTGCCAAGGTAACTGCCAGACAGACCTTTGTCCCATCTTACTGTGTTATTAGGATCTTTTCTGTTGAAGCAATTGCTGTCTATGGGCAAGCAACCCTTGGGCTTTCTCCTTTCCCAAGCTGGAATCTTAGCAGGCTGGAGTCTTTCCTGAGATCATCCTTCTTGTTCCAGTGCAGAGCAGGAGGCCTCTCTTTCATGGCCTTAGTCTCCGTAACAGTCACAGTCTTTCTTTTAGCACATGCCTAAGCTGAAATATGAAGCTTCCTAGTGTTCTGTTTCTATCCAAGCTATATACTTTTTTCTTTTATTTCTTTCTGCCCCATTTGCTCTTTTTCACTGTAGGCCTACATAAAAGTTATTAGTAATTGCCATGCCATAGATTCAACATTGTGCTGATTTGACATTTTCTCTATCAAAGAAATTAGGCATGCATTTGTTTGTTTGTTTGTCTGTCTGTATGTGTAGAGACAGAGTCTCTCTGTCCAACCCTGGTTGTTCTAGAATTCACTACATAGACCAGGCTGGCTTCCAACTCACAAAGATGCATCTGCCTTCTAAATTCTGGGATTAAATACCTAGCAGTCCATTTCTTTTTAATTTAGCCTCACATAAATTCTCAAGAGATAGGCAGAAAACAGCCAGATACTTTGCCAAAATTTCACAGAAACAGTCTGTAGCTGTGTTGCTAATAAAGTCCTTATTTGCCTGTGAAGCCTCTTGAGCCAGGTCTTTACTCGTCTCAGCACTTTTGGCTTCACAGTCCCATTAGAACATACAACATTTAGCTACTTTTCTAGTCCAAATTTTCAAAGGCTTCCACAGCACTCTAAAAAGCAACATGCCCAGGTTCTTCTCAAAAACAACCCTACTCTCTGGTACCAACTTCTGTGTTGCTTACTTTTCTGTTGCTCTGGAAAAAAAATACCATAACTAAAGGCATCTTAAAGATGAAAGGGTTTATTTGGGCTTATAGTTTCAGGAGATGCCCGGTGGCATGAGACCAGAGCAGGAAGCTGAGAGATCACATCTCCAGACCTCAGGCACACATAAGAAACAGTGACTTGAAGTGAGGTGAAGCTGTAGAACCTCTCAGAGATCACCTCTAGTAACATGCTTCCTCCAGTAAGGTGCCATGTCCTAAGAGTTCCATAACCTTCTCCAAAGGTGCCAAGTGTTCAGATGCATGAGCCTATGAGACATTTATCAAACCAACCACCGCGAAGAGCTTAGCAGAATACCTAGCACACTAGAAATAATGTTTTCTGTGTTATGCTAACGGTAAATTAGCAGCACGCTTCACAAACTGAAACATTTTGTTGCCTTCTAAAGGGCCCTGGCCTGTCACACCGTACTGTTCACATACAATATAGGCCAGTACTCAGACCAAGAACCTACAAACCTGCTCATAGGGTGAGCTTTCCTTTTGCCTTTATTTTCTAACTTTTTGATTAGAAAAGTCAAAAACATGAAGGCAAGAAGAACTCTATCATGGGAGTTCAAATGGAACTTTGTCTTGCATAGATATGAAAGCTTAAGTTCCCTTTGGACCTAACTTAGGAATCAGAAGAAATGCATACTTCTCTAACTCATAAGTGTTGCAGCCTTTTCTGATTCCTCATGGCATTTCTGACAGGTAAGCATAGCTTCAGAAGCATAAAGAACATGGAGATGTCCTTGGTTCAGACTCTGACTGCTCCTAGCACAGTGAAAGAAGCATAACGAGCTCTAATTGCACTTGTATTGCGCTTGCTGACATTTATGTATAGCACAAAGGACTCATCACAGCTAGAAACTTGCTGTCTTCATTATCTGTGTGCTCAGATTTTGAAATTTTCTATTTTCTTAGCAAGGACTGCTAATCAAGATCATTTAGTTATGGATAAGTGAATTCCAGCAAAACAGTCACTGTTTGAATCCCTAGCCTGATATAGGGAATCTCTAGTGAGCCCAGAAATGTTAGATGCTTATACATCAGCCCTGCACTCTTGGGTCTTACTGAATGGACTTCTTAAACATGTAAGGCTTCCTATAACACACCACCCTTCAAAAGCTGTAATTAAATCTGCATCCTCCAGAGCTCCCAAGGACTAAACCACCAACTAAAGAGTACATACACATGGAGGGACCCGTGGCTCCAGCTGCATATGTAGCAGAGGATGGCCTTATCTGGCATCAATGGGAGGGGAGGCCCTTGGTCCTGTGGAGGCTTGATGCCCCCAGTGTAGGAGAATGCCAGGGCAGTGAGGTAGGAGTAGGTGGGTGGGTGGGGGAGCACCCTCATAGAAGCAGGGGGAGGGGGGATGGGATAGGGGATTTGTGGAGGGGAAACCGGGAAGGGAGATGACATTTGAAATATTAATAAAATGACCAATAGAAAATAAAGAACTCTGCATCCTCTCTCACATTCATGCAATACATGCTTTTTTTCTGTGCTACTATTCCAAATATCCAAAGAGAAAAAATAAATCTACTACTCTAGATAAGTAATAATTGATGGAATACCTAATATGAACACTTTAACGGAACTCAACTTTCTTGTTACTTTTCTACTATAGAAAACTGAGCGATCGTATGGTTGTCTGAGGAGTTATGGGTAAGAGGGCTGGCGTTAACTGGTGGAAGCACAGTTACTTTCTTCCATTCTATATATCAGATACTTTTCTGTACCATCCAGCTTTCCCCCTTCAGTCAGCTTTCAGTCCTCTTACTATGAATTAGAAAGTGCTTGCTGTGCTTGGCTCTCATTGGCTACAGCCAGTATTGACTGTTGACTTGCTTCTGATTTCAAGGAAGATGCTCTATAGAGAGAACATAGAACACCTGTTCTAACCTTTCAGCCTTACAGTGTGTTGAGGGACCTAGAATCCAGAAATGCTACTCAAGACCTGTCCTTTTCTCAAGGCCTCCGAAACCTCTATATCTTTTTGTCAAGCTTAGAGCTAGCCGAAGTAATGGTAACTGCTTTCTCAGGAAGGTGAAAACCTTCAAAGCCACCATTAAAAATAGGAATCACTCAGTATTTTCATACAGTCACTTTCTGATTTACTAGAAGATTGAAAAATAATTTTGAAATTCAAAGTGGAACCACTTACAGATTTGGAGGCAGTATTTAAATGCCATATGTTAGCACCAACACATTGGGAAGTTGTTAATTAATTCAAGCAGCCCCAAATCCAGGTGTGACTTTGACAGATTGTATACCAGGGTGTTAGCACAGACTTACAATTAGGGATGTTTTAAAAAATGAAGTTTCTAGACCTCTAACTTGAAGAAGTTACCCTTTTACTCAAAACATTAACCCTTTCTCATTATCCCCTGAGAGGAGATGTTTTACTGAACACTGGTCTTGAGGCCTGTGGTTCTGTTGTTGTTATCTGTGACGTAGGGAGCCTGTCTGTGCAGCACTCCATATGTGAGAGCGAGTAGTCCCTGTTCAGTTTGTTAGTGTCCTTGGGGAAAATGTTTTTGCCCCAAAGACAAGGGAGCTTACTTTTGTTTTTAAATTCCCCTAAAGCACCTAGCAGACTACCCGGGATACCATAGATTGATTTAAGCAATCCATAATCTCACTGATTAAAAATTAAATATGAGCCTCACACAGAGAAAAGGAAATGAACATTTTACTAGCATGCAGAGGCCCCTCCCCTTTTTTCTTAGCTAATGGTATTTTAAAGAAGAGTTGTCTTCCTCCTTGAAATCTGGTTGAGTTTATTCTTAGTGGTACCCAGAAGTCAGCATCTTCTCTTAAATGATTTCCATTTTCAGAGTACTCATTTTAGGCAGGGGGTTTTCATGTTTTAGCTTACTCAGGATCTGCATGTGTATTTACTATAGTACTACCCTGGAACTCAGAATGTACAAATTGTTTTAGCTAAACCCTGTAATTACAAGTTTGGCAGTGAAATTAGAAACCAAATAAAAATTTTAAATTCTGCTTTTATTTTAAAGAACTAAAGCAAGTTTCTTCAAGGTAAGAAATATGACAGAAATTTTTTTTTTCTCATACAGCTGCCAGCCATAGTTTGGTAGGCAAAGGAGTCCTGAGCAGAAAATAGTAAGAATTGGAGACTAGTAGTTTTTCCTTTCCTTCTCCATCTATTTCCCCGTCTCCATCATGGGGTGCCACATCCTCACAGGGCCTGCTGCCCACTGTCCCCCATATTCAGGGGCCAGCTCATGGGTAGCCTATAGTCATACAGGTCAGGAGACTATAAAGACTCCTTGTTAAGAAATCTGAGGTTGCTGATGCTTGGTGCCCTGGACCACTAGGGTTTTGCCAATTCACAGTAGATCACTGGCATTTCACATCTTCCAAAGGTATAAAAAGAGCAGTACACTTGAACTTTTTTTATCCAAATAAATAGCCCATCTAGTGACCTTTAAAATCTATCACTCTCCTTATTCACTGAGTCCATTGTCTGATTATAAGACTTTTTTCCTTTTTCAGATGTACCAGTATGTTCCTGATTTTGTCCCTTACACATTAACATGTACCTTCTTTCCCCACTCCACTACAGGTCTCTCCAGATTCTGCCTTTATTTCCCAAGTTGCATCTCAGGAGAACATTAAAAGATCCCTAGACATCTTGAGTTGTCTTAGGAAGTACAGCATAAGAGGGGGTAAGAGGGGGGATTGTGCACACTGCTCTAGCACTCCAGTGCCTCAGCTAACTGAAGCATGAAGCACGTTATCTCCTCTGCAGTGCTAAGGAACGAGAGAGAAAAGGAAGCTTAGCTGACAGCAGTGAGATGGTTCTCAGGGTTACGTTTCAAATCAGTGACAACACTAAAACAGACAGTAGAGTCCCTTAGTCATGACCATTCCTTATGCCTTTAAGGCTCATCTACCTCCTCCAGCTTGGAAGAATCAGTAAAGGAACAAGAACACTGGGCTGGGGTAGGAAAGTGGGTTGTGTCCACATCAGACCACATACTTCCTGAATGACCCTAGGAAAGTTGATTTCTCTCTTACGGACTCAGAAATCTGATATACAGACAGATGGAATATGTCCTTTGTTTATTACGTGGAATTCTATGACAAAGAACATTTAGCTGCTTAACTTAGGTTCTTCAGAGCTGCACTTATATAATAGATATGAAGGGCTTTAAATTTTTAAATTAAAGTGAGATAGCATTAAAAATCTGTTTCCCATCATACCCTTTTAAGTGTTTAGTGAAGTCTTGCACATGGCACTGGCTGTATATGGGGCAGCAAAGACATAGGACTTGGGGTCAGTGTTGCTTCAGAGTAAATCAGAGTAAATCCAGTGATGCAAGGAACTGGGCCAGTCCTAGAGGGCTCTGATCCATGCCTTAGCTTGAGTTCCAGTGGACCAGCACCCAGAAAATCCGCATAAACAATTACTTTTTACATGGAAATGAGACCTGCCCTATGAGGGCTAAAAGAAACCTAAGTAACTATCACCTTTAAACAACAATAGCAAAATGACAATGTAGACTCAGTAACAGAGGCTGTGCACACACTGATGACAGTGTAGACTCAGTAACAGAGGCTGTGCGCACACTGATGACGGTGTAG